ATTATAAAGTTAAATGTTAGCTTAATGAATTGATGAACTCTAATTATCTAATTTATTGGAATCTAATTATGCACAATCCCTTACTGAGTTGATAATTTATTAATTAATGACTGATTTATTACTTACTGACAAAATGCCTAATGTCATCCCCTTGAACAGTATAAAAATATTCCATGACACCCCTAGACACTATTTTAAAAAAAACACAACCCCCCCCCCCCTTCCCCACGAGAAAACATTTTCAGTTCTTTACTATAAAACACTGGATCAAATTAATACTTGTTTATTAGATTTCATAGTTTTCATTAAATTTTTGATAACTTACCATTGAGGGCTGAATAGCCTGAATTGTCAAGTCAAGGTTCCTTTGCAAAGGCCTAACATAGGCCAATGCTTGACCCAATCCCGATAGATCTCTTAGAAATGGCACAGAATATCCTATTGGCGGTGGATGAATGATGACAAGGTCTGTGGCCTTAGCTCCACCAGATCTCAGAATTTCAAACCCCCCACCATTTGCTAATTTTGGGAAATGCGATAATAACATTTCATTAAGTTTTGCTGGATTGGAATTTGAATTGAAACATATCTTTTTCCTTCCCAGGCCACATTGCTGTAACATGTTTTTTTCGCTCCTTTGAGGTACACGATTTTGATTACATTTGGCCAAGCAGAAAAATTCATGAGTCCAAGTCTCCTTCACCTTATAATAATTAGAGTTACTGCTACCATTTCTTCGTGTACGTTTTGGTGCAATCTGGTAGGCAGACGACTGCGACCTGAATCTTTCTGTGCCGTAAGGGGAAAACAAGCTTCGTAAATTACCAACAATATCTCCATGCCTTGCCCCTGGAGCTGGACTAGAATTGGATGGAGCTGGACTAGAATTGGATAGAGGCCATGGAGCAGGACTGTTTGATGTTTCGCTAACCTGGTTCACCGTAGTGCTAGATAGACTGTTTGGTTGAGGTGAAAGTAATCTTGTAGCCTCTTGTAGTAACTGGATTGCTCTTAGAGAATTTCTACTTTCTTCGTTTTCTTCTAGTTGGCTTGAATCACTGATCTGGCTTGAATTTACATTTGAGTCTGCCATCATTTTAATTGTTCACGAGGTCACTGAGTCACTGATACAGAGTAGATACATATACAGAGTTATAACTGGTGTGCCCACTTTTTTTGTGCGCATGCTCAGCAAGTTACTAGATGCATGTATCTCATTGGATGGCGACTCGCTTTAACTGTTCGCGGAACTTGCCAAGCACGCGCAGTTGATCCGGTCGCCTGAAAAAAGTGGGTACATGAAAACGTAAGTTTCTGCAGTGTTTACAACGGCCAGTTCCAGCTCTGTATGTGTCTACTCTGTGTCACTGATCTCAAAGTTTGACCTGAAGTGTTACATTTCCAAATTCTATTAAGCCTGTTAGCCTGGTTCACATATATGCCTGCGACGTACCGGCGACGATGCCGGTGGTAGCTTAAAACGTAAATTATGCGAATATTTGTTCGCCGATTGCCTCCAGTGCCACAGTTACATCGGCGGTAGGCCGGGAAAGTTGACTTGAGTTCAACTTTGCCGGTATTTCGGCGGCAAGTAGAGGCATAATGATACAGTTGCAGGCATATGTGAACCAGGCTTTATGCACCAATATATATGCTCATAGTCTCCCGAAAATACGTCATTGCATGTAATTTTCCAGAGATTTATTAGTTTATATGCACTTCTAAATTATGTTATGCACTTCTAAATTATGTTATGCGGTTCTAAATTATGTTATGCGGTTCTAAATTATGTTATGCGGTTCTAAATTATGTTATGCGGTTCTAAATTATGTTATGCACTTCTAAATTATGTTATGCGGTTCTAAATTATGTTATGCACTTCTAAATTATGTTATGCGGTTCTAAATTATGTTATGCGGTTCTAAATTATGTTATGCGGTTCTAAATTATGTTCTAAATGCGGTTCTAAATTATGTTATGCGGTTCTAAATTATGTTATGCGGTTCTAAATTATGTTATGCACTTCTAAATTATGTTATGCGGTTCTAAATTATGTTATGCGGTTCTAAATTATGTTATGCGGTTCTAAATTATGTTATGCACTTCTAAATTATGTTATGCGGTTCTAAATTATGTTATGCGGTTCTAAATTATGTTATGCGGTTCTAAATTATGTTATGCACTTCTAAATTATGTTATGCACTTCTAAATTATGTTATGGAAGAACTCAATTTCGATTCGGACATGTGTAATTAAAATTGAATTTCTTAATAATATAATTTAAAAGCGAATATTGACATGAATAACGCTTCATAAATGTGGCCATTGATTGCATCCCAACTCTTACAATTTATACATTTTGAAATCGCCATACAATGATAAAATCTAAATAAAATATTTTGTGTGTACTATGTTATCATGAATGCGCACATATTTGTATCCCAGTTTTATTATGATTTATAATCACAAAACTTTGGATCGTGTAAAAATTATATATTGT